TTTTTTTTACAGTCTTAGAATTCAAAATCTTCCTCTGGCAAAGTACAAATGGCTCAACATAGACTATCACTGCAGCTTATCACTTTTGAAGTAGAATTCTTTCATTCTCCCTTGGCAGACTCAAGGGTTCAAATATTCATATGTAACCCCCTCCAATTGTAAATCACTTGATCTGTAGCTGCTTTATCAAGCATGAATAAACTATTTTCAGGCAAAAATCACCATTTTACCAACATATAAATGATTCCCTAGACCAGTGATGATGACTCTTTTTTCCCTCTGATGCCAAAATCCCACATCCATAATTTAATGCCTCTCTGGGCCATGCCCCCTGTGCATGCATGCATGACTACCACTTTCTGTGCTGCCCCGTGCATGCATGCATAGCTTTTTTGGTGCTTGGGGAGGGCAAAAACAGCCTTCCCTGCCCTCCCAGATCCTCCAGAGGCTGGAAATGGCCCATTTCCCGACTTGTGGTGGGTATGTTTTTTGGCCTCCCCAGGCTCCAGAGGCTTTCCTGGAGCCTGGGGTGGCTAAAATGGCCTCTCTTCCCCCCAAACCCTCCGGAGGCTGAAAATGCCCTCACAAAGCCTCTGGCCAAGACGTTTACCCTAGTTTCCATTAGTTTCCACAAATTTTGTCATTTCTCTTTCTTTATGACCTTTCCCCCCTTTATTCTGTATAAATGTTTGTCCAGATTTATTTTACATTTCAAAACTACTTTTACATGCTGATAAAAATGATTCTATTTTTATATGAAAACAAACCTTGTTTTCTCAAAGTATTATAACTGTTTGTTATAAATCGAAACTGTTTGTAAGAAACTTGGTGTACATGTTTGAATGTATGTTGAATGTTTATTTCATTTATATGCTGTCCTTTTCCCCCGAAGGGGGAGTCAGGGCGGCTCACAACTCAAACCAGGGAAGGAGGGATACAGACAAANTCACTTAACAACTGTGTTACTAATTTAACAACTGCAGTGATTCATTTAACAAACGTGGCGAGAAAAGTCGTAAAATGGAACAAACTCACTCAACAAATCTCTCACTTAGCAAAAAATTTTGGAGTCACTTGAGGACTACCTGTACTGAAGAATGACGTGCATAAATGAACAAAAACAGAAGTTGAGATGAGCTGTATTCAGATCTGAAGAAGTGCTTGGTATCTAGTTTGATGGGATCTTTTCTTTCTGCATCAGTGAAGATCAGCATTAACCACTCTCAGTGGTCCCTCTGTCCCAGCCTATTGTCCGTAGGAATATTATCTCCCTTCTGCCCACTATTACCTGATTCTTAAGCTTCAGAATGAACTGAAGGAAAAGGAAGTACACTGAGCAATGAGAAGAAAGTGTGGCTTAAGACAAGAGAAATCGTATAAAAAGGAATAGAGAATGCAAGTACCTAGTAAGGAAAGCTAGAATGAAAGACCATGTAGCAGCAAATATTTTAGGAAGGGGCAGCCTACAAATTATTTGCCATCTTCCCAAGCACAGTACTTTGAGATTGTGCTCTTAATCATGGCATGATTATTAATTTTCTTTTGCAAAATAAGATTAGAGATCGGAATAGGTTGGGAGGCAAACTCTCTCTCCTTTAACCCCCACTAAATCCTGAAAAACAACCCAGTATTTTCCTGATAAAATTAAGCTTACACAGTGCAGCTTACTCAAAAATATTAACCATTTCTTTCCATGGTAAGTGTATAAGATTGAAAGTTTATTGATGAAATTATGGAACATAAAAGAGATACAAAGATCTTTTTCTGCATCTTTTCCACAATTGTGTGAGTTTATGGTTACCAGGTGATTGGTTAAAAGAAATGAAAGAAGACTCTGCCCTTGTCCTACATCTTTAGTGAAAGATAATGAAAAATTACACAATTTAGAATAGACTTATCTGATTGCTGGCATTTTTGGATAAAATAGAATATTTCAATATGGATTTAGATGTAACTATGGGACTGAAACTGTTTGGGACACTTTGGTGATACAATATTCACTAATGGCTGGACTAAAAAATGGGTTGATGTGATTATTGGATCTCTCAACTACTTTTGCTATGTCACTGAATATCTTCCTAGGCTACTTGGAATAAGTGAAACTTGGTTGATATGACTTCATGATATCTTTTGTTCTTCTTGGAGGATTAATCTAAGAAGGGAAATACTTTCCTGCTTGGCACCAAATTCTGTAATTTACATGCATTTGTTTTAGGGGTTATTTTGTCTCAACCCTAGTGAAAAGCAACCTCATTCTGAACCTTCTGTTGGAATAAAATTTGAAATACTTCAAGTGTTGTATATTCCAGTGCAACAAGACCCCAACATATTTTGAGTGTTACAGGGAACTATTGGAATGTGAATAACACTGAATCCAGCAGAAATTAAGTTTAATATAACCAATGAACAATAACAATACCCTTCACTTAAATAATGTCTCTCTATGGCTGTAGAATTGGAAGAACTTTATTCTAAATATATGTGAGTGTAAGGTCTACTTTTTCCATATTGAAACTGGCCTTGGCTGCAACAACTGACAAAAACAGAAAGCCAACTATAGTTTGGCAGCACACTGCATTTTAGAAACTGTCTTTAAAAAAACATTATGTCAATCTTAAGGCTCTTGTAACACATGAAGTTCTACTGCTGAAATATTCTCTATTTTGTTTCAGTTAAGAACAAAATAATTTGTACTAAATTAGGAACTCTTGGAAAAGAGGTACTAAGCTTCAGACATTTAGAACTTGCAATCTTTCATGTATTCCTACCATCCCTAATTCCATTTTTTGGTTATGTTTTTATATTTTGTTGTTTCTGTGTTGCTCTATTGTTGTGAGTCTCAAAAGAATTGATTGGAGTTGGATGGCATCTAATTAGAATGTCAAACTCGCAGCCAGATGCATTATGCGCTGTCCACGCCCACGCCTGGTTTAGCGAAAAGGAGAAAAGTCATGATTCGTCATGTGATGATGCCATGATGATGCGGGTTTGACATACCTGGTCTAGATAAATAAACAAACACATGTGTCTTTTTGCATGCACACATTTGTTTGGCAAATTATACACCCGGCTACCTAAGAAAACATGTATTCTGATCTATTACTTCTTTTACTGTTTGCTTTTTGATAGGTGCTTTATTATGGAAGACAGAGGATATCTTGTGGCACATCCAACTCTTATTGATCCTAAAGGTCATGCTCCAGTAGAACAGCAACATATTACACACAAGGTTTGCCTGCATCACAGTATTTCAATATATAAGTAGTCCTTGAGTTACAACCACATGTTCAGCAGCTGTTCAAAGTTACAACAGCACTAAAGGAGGGGGACTTTCAACCAACTCTGCAATGTTGCAACTGCTGTAGCATCCGCACAGTTATGGTTGTGATCTGGGCACTTGGAGCCCAGCTTGCAGTTATGACATCACAGTCATGATCACTTTTTTTAAAAATACAATTGTATTATTAAGATTGTAATAAAGACAAGCAAAAGCTAATATTTAAAGAAAATAAAAGATAAAATGAAAATTTAAGAAAATGGGAAATATAAAGAAATAGCTTCTAATTTTCTTTATAAGTATACATTTACCTCTTGCTTTATGGTTATATTATAGCTTTAATTTTTTTTTTTTGTATAATCTATTTTTTTCTAATCATCAATGTCATAGGTGTTGCTTTTGTTCTTCTTCATGCAAAAAGTCTATGAGGGATTTCCAGCCAGCAGTAAACTTAGATAATGTCTTTTTTTCTAATCAAAACTATCTTTGGCCATCTCAGCAAATTGCATCATCTTCAACATCCATTCCAGTAATGTTCACTGGAAGCTCCTCATTATCCTTGCTGTCTTCCCACAAGCAAAGTGAATGGGGAAGCCAGTTGGAAGTTAGAAGTCACTCCTGCTNTACAATTCCCAGCTATTCTCATCATTATCTTTATATAATTATACATCCTTACATCCCCCCAATTAGTGATTCTGTCTTTAAATCTCAATAGTTTCCCATTGTAGGTATATTTCATGTTCCCTCTCCATTTTTCCATATCTTGGATTAGATTACCCTTAACTGTGTATAAATGGCAATCCTCGCTGTTCAATGTTCCCTTAAGCTATTATATAGAATAACAAATGGTAAACATCTCACTTTATTCATCATCTTAAAAATTCTCTATATGTCCATCAGTGATGACCATATCTTGATCTCCATAAATTAGCTCACTAATTTATGGAAAGATCAACTAAATCAGCATTTCACCCCTATCTTTGATGGAGCAACAAAAAGATTGGGAGTGCTGAATTTATGAATTACAAAACAGTCTCTTTCACATTACTCTTTGACCAGAAGTCAAAGTAGTGATATCCAATTGCTTCCTCTCTCTTGCTGATCTTAAATAATGTCCTTTATCATCTCAGCTGATCTCCAGCATTTTTCTCCTGGCCACGTATGCCAAAGAAAGTTTTCTTTTGTATTTTGTAAGAATGCCTGTAGATTCCTGGGAACTGGAGTGGAGGGGAGTGGAGTAAGTACTATAGGGATGGCATGTATGATATCTTAAGAGGATAGAGCATGCAGTTGTAGCCCTCCAAATCTTTCAGACTACTTCAGTAGTCTTTGATCTTTGAGTGTGATAGCTGAGAGCCATGGGGTTTGCAGTCCTACATTTCTGGATGCTAGATTGGCTGGTTGAACCTGTTTCTGTGTGCCACCTTGAACTTCTTTTGGATAAGTAAGTTTACTAGCATGTTTAACTACGGTTGGCTCTTGTGGAAGGAATGGAATTTTGTATATATCTGATGTGATTGCTGGTGAAGTGGAATTTGAAATGCTTAAGCAAATTTCAGGTTAGAGGGAAGAAGCATTTGTCTGCATGTGAATAAAAAAAGTCTCCATCTGGGCTTTGCATGCAAAAGGGAGAAAGTCTCCTGCAATTCCATGCCAAAATAAGGTCCTTGAACCAGAGAGTTTCAAAGGGAGGGTTGCTGTTGCCCTTAATGATTTCTTGTGAAACTGTGAATATATTGGAGAGAAAACTTCAGCATTGTACATGTATATCCCTTCACCAGAATTGTTTATGTACTATAATAGTAGCAGATGACTGAAGGAGGATTCTTTTTTTCCTTCTGCACATTGTTGTAAATACATGCAAGTACAGGCTTTCGAAGACAGTCTTTTATGGCCGTTTCATGTGTCAGTTGCTAAGGCAACAATATGCAATCTTGAGCTATGGAATAAAATATGGGTATCAGCAGACCTCCACGTCTGGGCAAGATATTATCATTTATTCACAGCTGCTGTTCCTACTTCTACATCTTTTAAGCTTCAATATACAGAATCTTTTATAAGGACCTGGGCCTCCAGGTCCAGTTGTCGGGTTTGTGTATTGCTAAGGGTTGTTTAGATTGTCATGATGTGCCGGGTTTAGTAGGTGGGTGGTAGGGAGTCTTAGTCATGATAATACAAGAATGTTAAGTGGGAATAATCACATCCAGGAGGTGGCAAGATGTAAGGCTATGTGGGAATGACCTTGGGAGTAGAGAAACAGCTGAATCCAGGGGAACCATTGGATAAGCATACACCACAGCAGGAATATGGGCATGACAAACCTCTCAAACCTGTAGTAGCTATCGGGCAGAAATGTATTTTCAGATTTACAAGATTCTGCTAATGTAAAATTATAATAAATTTAGTTCATCCGGGCATAGTTCTTGTCTAGATTAGCTTGCAAAGCCAACATAAGTTTAAAAACCCTGGTTTGGTAGATAGAGTTGAAATTGGATGAATTATGGAAATCACCACGGATATTGTACCACTGAGTTCCTGTTATACCTTTCTGGAGCATCACTTTCTGATAATACTAGCAGTGCTGGAAATTGGGCTGGGTCTGATAGGTAAGGTCTCATCACCCTGCCACCATGTGAATTCCATAGCTTGTCTGGGCAATTTTATATGAGGGCACATCTTAGTCTTGTGATTAATTTCATGGTATGAAAAAAAAACGTAGTTTGAATTCCTAGCACTGCTACAGATTTTACTTGAAATTTATATGCAGGAAGAATGACATTTAGTGACAAAGCAGATTGTAACAGCCACTCAGATTTCTTGCCAAGCAGTCAGACAAATGCATACTAAATGCATTGAAAATGGAGGCTAGCAATTTAATTTTTATCCTTTCTGTTAGGGAATGTTTGTTACCTAGGGACTACCATAGCTCAGGGGATGGGAAATTGATTGATGATGGTTTTTGCATTATCCTTTTAGTTGCTGGAGGGAATATGGTTTGGCTCAAAGTATCCCATGCCATCCTGAAATTGGTGGGAATGAAGATAATCATATGGCTGGCTTCAAAATGCTTAGGAGGGATTGGGGAATGAAAACTATGCCATGTAAAAATGGCCTCAGGAAAGTGGTTCTCCCACTGCAGGGAATTTATTCACTTATCCAGCATATTTCTCTGCCTCTGTAATTAAGCAATTTAGTAGCTTACATAGGAAAAATGCAATGTAAAAGCTACCTAATTAAAAAACAAAACAAAATATAGAGAATACAACAAAAAGGAGAACATTACAACAAAACAGGGTCTTAAAGTAAAAGCATGTATACTTTACTTTCTTAAAGTCTTTAAATATTGTGCTACCATTCTCTACCTGAGCTCCAATTTGATATAATGTGCCATAAATTTCTCAGGCAAAAGAGGAGAGGGGAGGAAGAAAGGCTGAGAATGCACAACCAAGTAAAATTGTGTATGGTATACATGCCATCCAAATTGAGAAAAGGNTTACCTATGCAAATCTATAATGGAACGACATTTAAAAGAGCATGCACAGTTTTTTTCACTGCATTTCAAAGATTGTTCCAAAACTAGAAAAAAGGTTTTTTTTAAAATATGTGAATTGAAATTAATGAGATATGTATATTCCATGCTTGCTCGCCCATAGAAAACTGACATCCAGTTAGATTACATTGTTACACTTTTCCTATGAGAAAAGGCACTAAGGATTTTATAACTTGAAATGAAAAAAAGGTACTAGTTACTTCTTCAAGATCAGAGGAACCTCGTGCTAATAACCTGTTGCAAGGAAAGAGCAGCGGGAGGGCGTTGTAGACCTTACATAAACATCTCAGGAGGTTGGCCACTGTGGAGAAAAGGTTGCTGGATCAGATAAGGCTTTGCTGGGATCCAACAGAGTGCTTGGATGCCTAGCTGAAATGGAATGTGGGACATTCTGTAATCATAGTATTATTATTTGAGTGCATTAATGAACAGTGTACTCTTCTTTCTCTCTAATGACTGGGAAAGTTGAGAGGAACAATTGCTGTTTCAACGTTATTCTTTGAATCAGAAGCTTCCTAGCCAGATGGTGATAGGGCCTCATGATTCCCCACCCCCCCACCCCTGATTTGCAAAAATTATTTTCAAAAGGTAAGGTAACAAATGAGATATGTATATTCCATGCTTGCTCTACCATAGAAAATTGACATCCAGTTAGATAGCAATAGCAATTTTACATAACAAGATTACATTGCTTTAGTCAGAAAAATGTATTGCTTGCAGTTTATTTACATTTTTATCTGGTTGGGATCTTTTGTATGTTGAAGCATTGATTTCTGATGAGAGTTCATTTAGTTGGACACTGTAAGCTTACAGTGTAGCAGATAACATTTGTCGTAACAGGAACAATTCACTTCACCGGGAAACATGTTTTCCGCCACATGTCTGATCTGTTTTCCTTCCCCCTAGGGTGATCTGACAAATCTTGTGCACGGCAGCCACTGTTCTAAATACAAGCTGACAAGAATACCTGGAACCAATGCCTTTGTTGGAATAGTAAATGAAACCTGTGACTCACTTGCTTTCTGTGCCTGCAGTATGGTAGACAGGCTCTGTCTAAACTGTCACAGGTAAGAGGACATTTGAAATGAGACATGATTGGATTATACTTCGGATTGTGCTTCTTTAAAAATGAAGGGATTGCAAGGCCTCTAGATAATGTGCATTTGGTTTTTAGCTGAGTGAAACAGCATGTGACTCAACAGGCATGTTAAGTCTTATTTACAAAATGCCTAGGCAGGTTGCTTATTTACTATGTAAGGCACAGTTCCATATTCCGTGTGAACAAGCAAAACATTTCTAGCTACACTTGGGTCATCCAAACATTTGATTTGTGGGCTCCAGGAGACTCTCTTGCTTTCCCCAGAAGCGTAGCCATATTTTTATTTATTTATTTATTAGATTTTTTATCCTACCCTTATTATTTTATAAGTAACTCAAGGTGATGAACATACAGTATCTGATACGGTTTCCTTCTATTTTCCCTACAACAACAACCCTATGAGGTGAGTTGGG